GGTCCTGCGTGAACTGTGTGATTTCTAGTGTCATGAAATTAATACACAACTGCAGTTTTGGTTTGCCAAAGCAGATCAATTCACAATTTCCTTGATTTACATTTTCTGTGGTGCATAAAGGTTCAGGAAGGGACCCAGCTGGGGGTCTGTGAAAAGGGACCCCAGTCAACAGCAAAGTCTTTCTTTTTGCAGCATCTCCATGGATAGAAACCGACGAAACACCCGGGAAGATCGACCTGTACGACGTCCGCCGTAGGCCATGGTGAGTGATCCCTGTCCTGCAGACTTCCCGGTCATATACACCTCTCTCTCTGCTCTTCATACCTCCTTGTCCTGTAGCCCCCTTGTTCGGCAGACCTCCTTGCTCTGCAGACCTCTCTGTCCTGTAGACCTCCCTGCTGTGTAGACCTCCCTGCTTTGTAGACCTCCATGCCCTGTAATCCCCCCTCTCCTGCAGACCTCTCTGCTCTGTGACGCTCCCTGCCCAAGCTTGTGTAGTTTTTCAGACGTAAGCTGCACCTGCCATCTTGGCTGACCAGGTTTTATTTTTCCTCTTCTAAGGTACATACAGGGTGCAGCTTCTCCGAAGGACATGCTGATTCTCGTAGACGCGTAAGTGACATACCTTAGACCAGGGATGATGAAAATTAGTCTTCAGTCAAGCCATATGGTTTATTAACAACTATGATGGAGCCTGTCAACTGAGCCCTACAGAATATCTTAAATCAGAATAAAGTAACTCAGATGCATAGGCACACACAAGCCTGTATGTTAACAACATATCAACATATTGTTTGAAAATACCAGCAAACTACTGTATACCGTGGTGTAATATAAAAATCACACAAGAGATATAAAGGAACTGCAGCATGAACTATGAGCCATCTGATTTTAAAATGCACATAATACGGCACACAGCATAAAACAGAAAGAAGCGCTGAAGACAGACACAGACGTTCATCAGTACTGATGGCAGTCGGCTTCGGAAAGAGCACATAATTCATGCTGGATACTCATTTCAGCCGGATATCCAGCTCACCCATGATTTACATTTCTCCCATTTACTGTTTCTAGCTCCTCCTAGTGGTCAGGCAGCATAGTGTGCTAGTCTTAATTTCAAAGTGTTTTTAATTTGTTTGTTTATAAAAAATACTTTTAATATTCGTGCACAGCAAGTGGCCAGGAAAAATTGAGGTTGGGGGGGGGGGGTGGGCAATGCAGTCATCTACCCCTGCTTTAAACCTTTAGACCTCACCTTCTCAAAACGAAATCCATCGGGTCAACATGACCACCTGAGTACATCGAGTCATGGAAAGGGAACTATTTTCAGCGACGGTGTTTCCACTCAGACCACACTTGGCACAACCCCGGGGCAAGCAGGGAGCCCCAGAAACAGCAAGGCCGCCTCTGTGTTTGTAACGGAATCGGGGAAACCAGAACATCTATCCAGTGGCACTGCATGCAAACGCCTCGCAGTCTGCTGTGTAAACATGTGGGTGCAGAGACACATGGTACATGGGCTACATTTCTGCTGTTCTGTGACCATTTTGGGCAGCTAACAAGAGCAACATTTTATATGTAGTGCTTTGGTTAATGTTGGTTAATGAGCTCTGAGCGTTTCCCCTCTCGGTCTCAGTGTAGATATATGCGTTTCACTGCTGGGACATGAGGCAGGATGACCTTCATCCTGTATCCCAATTAAAGCTGGACAAAATGGGATCTGTGGCATCTGGCCAAGACCAGATGAGAATGAGAAAAATGAAAATCGATGCCGGCCTCTCGACTGCAGCATCTTACTGATTATTAGTGAGCTCTGTTTGAGAACCACAGTAGCTGGAGTCCACATGCCTTAGTGACGATATGAAGACCCTTCACATTGCAAGCCTTTGGTATGGAGAAAGAATGCTAAATGATGACAATAAACTGTAACAGTGCAGAGAATGTAAGGGAAAGTACCGCATGGAATTCCGTAGTAACAACTCTGTAATAAATAGTGTTGCACAGGGGGTTGTATGGTAAAGCACAGTATCACAGTGGGCTGTACAGTGAAACTTAGTCTCACACAATAGTCGGTATGATAATAAACATTATTACACAGCAGGTTGTATAGTTATACACAGTATCACAGTGGGCGGTACAGTGAAACATAGTCTCATATAGTAGTTTGTACAGTTATAAACAGTATTACACAGTCGGTTGTGCAGTGATAAATAGCATTGTACAGTGGGTGGCGCAGTAATAAATAGTATTGCACAGGGGGTTGAACAGTAATATGCAGTATTGCTCAGTGACTTGTACAGTGACAAATAGTTTCACAGTAGGTTGTACAGTAATAAAAAGTATTGCACAGTGGGCAGTGCAGTAATAAACAATATTGCACAGTGGGCAGTGCAGTAATAAACAATATTGCACAGTGGGCTGTACAGTAATAAATAGTATTACACTGTGGGTATTGCGGTTCCGGCCCGCTCAGAGCCGCTGCCACTGGGGGACTCATTGTCAAGCTGAATGGCCTTATATAGTGCTCCGTGGAGCAGTCTGACTTTGCCTTAAGCTCTGGATGTGTTGGGCTGGTTGTAACTTTTTTAGGCTTCTGCAGAGATAATTTAGTGTGTTATGAAGGTTTCTTTCCACGTGTAACCTAGATGTTGGCTGTGTCCCTCTGTAAATCCCCTGGAGCGTCGCTCTGCTGCAGTGTCTCCGGTCCCAGCTGGGTCTCCTCCAGGTTAATGGGCCTCTCCTCTAAACTCTACAGCCAGGCCTAGGAATAGCTCACCAGCATCACTCCTGTCATCTTGCCGAAGCGCAGTTTGTTTGTCTGTTCTGTTTCTGTTTTCATTCTTTATAGTCGGCAGTGAGATGTTCTCAGAATTACTCATATTTCACACAGTGGAGTATGAAAGCACTTCTGTATGTTTGTCACTTCAGTGAAATTAAATGCCTCCAATTAAGTAATGAAATATTGACAATGACACCAAGAGCCACGCAGCCTTACAGTTCTGACAGTTATTGTTGTATCTGTAGAAAACACATACAGTGTATAACAGTATATAACCTGTATACAATTGGGAGATCATATAGGCCTATGTGTGCCGAAAATATGATTACTTGTACATTACTTGTATATGTTACCTTTATATACTGTATTTGTAAGAGTACATATCCTGTATATCACTTGTATATTAGAGTATATAACCGGAGACTGACCTGCATATTAGAGTATATAACCGGAGACTGACCTGCATATTAGAGTATATAACCTGAGACTGACCTATATATTAGAGTATGTAACCGGAGACTGACCTGCATATTAGAGTATATAACCGGAGACTGACCTGCATATTAGAGTATGTAACCGGATACTGACCTGCATATTAGAGTATATAACCTGAGAATGACTGTAACCTGCATGTGCTGCCTGGCTTGACACTCTTCCTGTTCGAATGACCTTCAACAGGAGTGGCAGTGTGTCTGGTCTGACCCTCAAGCTGATCAGAACCTCGGTCAGCGAGATGCTGGAGACCCTGTCAGATGATGACTACGTCAATGTGGCCTACGTGAGTTTCTCCTTGGCGCGCTGTTACTGTGAGACGTATTAGTCCAACCTCCTGGTTTCTCTGTGGGACGTGTGAAGTCGCATGAAAATTTGCTCTTCGGCTGAACTGATGTAATGAAAGGGTCTGTACAATAATGTACAATGTATTTTAGTATTACTGTATTTAATGTTGGTAATGTCTTACTGTGTGTAATGTATCAATTAAACTTCATGTACACAAAAATCACGCTACAGTATGTGTGAGGTGGCGTTATCCGCAGTTTTGTCTGTCTGCGGTAGGGCTTTTGAACATATCAATCGGGGTTGCAGTATACTTTATTTTTATTGTTATGTCATGATCGGGGCTGTGTAGTTAGGAGTCCTAAAATTAGGAGAGTTTATTTAAGATTTTGGGAAGTCAGGAAGCTTCTGCAATACACATTTCCCATGTTAAGTTTGGTTAAGAAGAACAACTTAGGAACTGTTCATCTGATTCTAACCCTAGTTGCGATTGTTACCAAACACTTCAGATAGGATCTGCAGATTAGGAAGTGTCTGTAATGCAACCCCTGGACGGAATACACACAATGCAGTTATAAATGAGAATTCAGTCGACTAGGTGAGATCGATCTCTTGTGTAACCAATCAGATTTGGCAGTTTTGCTTAGAGTCCACCCACTGACTTTAATGTAATTTACATAATTATTTACATGACAGTTATTGAATATTGTCACAAATGGCCCTCCATACCTCTGGGCAAAGTGGGCCCCTTACGTATCAAAGGGAAGGAGTCCTCGGAACAGGTTCCATACACGTGAAGGATACTTCCCTGGGGGCCAGAGGTTTGTTCTAAAAGGGGAGACGGGTCATTAATAATGATATATGGATCTGACTCAAGTCATCTGTTTGAAAGTACATTTTAATGAAATCACTGCCTTTGTATCTGGTGAGCTGGACTGGCATTCCATAATCCTATAACTGGGAGTCTGCGACATGGGGACCAATTTCCAAATTTCTGTAAGATAAATCCTTGGCCTGTCAATTCATTTTTAATATTGAAATATTGGGCAGTTACTTTTCTCTCTACCTCTGAAATGTGTTATTGTTACTCTGTTAATGAGCTAAATTCTGAAATCCATCCAAGAATCATAAAACTTAATTTGAATGAATTTATGCCTGAAATGCAGTTTTTTCTTTAATGAATGTGACATGTCAACATTCTTTTCACTGAAATGCCTTGCTAATAAATGTAGTTCTCCAGAAGACCCTCTAGGGGGCAGTGGTCCTGCATGTTTGTGGAGGTTACGTTAATCCTGTCATCTTTGCGACTCTAGTTCTGCTTCTCATGTCATGGCCTCTTACACCAGCATGCTGTGAATTAGATGCTCGCAGACTCAGGAGGATGTGGGTATCCATGGTTACACCCCATATTGGTGTGACGTTCACCTGAGAGGCAAATGGACAGCAAGAGCTGACAAAGGCCTTACTAGTAATATGTCAGGATTACAAAGGTCTGCAATATGCCGGATCACAGCCAGGGGGTAAAATGCCTCATTAGATTCCCAGTTTTTAATCAGCAGATGTTTTTGTATAAAGCATCATAGGTTTTTTTTGGTTTTTTTGAGAAAGCTGGGCAGCCAGTCTTTGAAGCAAATGAGGTTAAGGGCCTTGCTCAGGGGCCCAATGGTGACATCACTCTGTTGACCCTGGAATTTGAACCAACGACCTTCTGATTACAGGCACAGCATCCTAACATTGCCTGTGAAAGGGAGGCTTGACTTCAGATAAGAGATTGACTGGGTCATTGGTCCCCATGAGGTCCATGCTGATTCGTCTTCTTATCTCTTTGTCTCTGTCTGCACATCAGGTTGTGATGCCTCTTTGTTCTGGTGTCATATGGGAGGGGGGGGGGGAGGTGGCCCCTGGGCTTACAGGAGTAGCAGCTTCTTGAGTGCCGGGGTGTTTGAGGCTCATGCACCGTGATGAAGTCGTTTCAGTTGAGATGCTTGTAGAATTGCAGATATACTCCTCTGGAGGGGGAGGCTTGGGAGGCACAAGAACTGTGGGACTGACCCCACTGCATGATGTGGATGGGCCCTGGGGATGGGTGTGGTGTGGATGTGGTTGGGGTATGGTGGGGGTGTGGTTATGGGCATGTTGTGGTGTATGTGGCTGAGGGCACGATGTGGGTGTGGCTGGGGTATGATGTGGGTGTTATGGGCATGGTGTGGTGGATGTGGCTGAGGGCAGGGTGTGGCTGGGGTATGATGTGGGTGTGGTTATGGGTGTGGTGTGGATGTGGCTGAGGGCAGGGTGTGGATGTGGTTATGGGTGT